ACCCCCACCCCATCCCCAACCCCAAAGGACCCCCGGTCACTTAGTCCTGACTCACCTCTGTAAGTGCCGTATCCTGGTCCTGGTCCAGGCTCAGGCTGACGTTGCCCTGCGGCAGCGGAGTGCTCCGCAGAACCGTGATGTGCAAGGTGAGGAGAAGGAGTCCCAGGAGGAGCAGCACTTCTGCTGTCAGCCGCACCATCCTCCTGACGCGGCCGCTCTTGCGAGCTTGCGCTGTGACCGGAGCTCCGACTCCGCCTCCTCCCGGTGCAGAGACTCCGATCTCCGGATCCGCCGGGGATGAGGAGCCGTAACACCACTTCGGAGCCACTTCGGGAATCAGAATTGCAAAAAGTGAAGGGAAAAGGGGCGAATGAGGGGGGGCAGGGGGGTGAAGCTTCAGCCTGGATTAATTTAGATCCAGCCGATTATCTTTGTGGATGAAACGTCCAATAAATGCTGGGTTATTATTGTATTTAAACCGGTGACAGTAAAAGTTCTTGCGCACTTCTTCCAAGTACTTCCGAGTACATCGAACTCTGCGGGACGTCAGCGCGCAGCCGGAACACTTTCCGCTCTTGTTGCGCACTCGCCAAACTCTCGGAGCTCAGGAAAGTTGCAGCCGAGTTGTCCCGTGTTGACCCCACCGCATTCCCAGCCTCACACTCCGCTTTTCCCCGCTGGTACTTCAGGCGCTTTGCGCACTTCTTGTATTGTCCACATTCTGCAACGAGCCACGCGTTCAGAGTAAAGTTTACTGCAGAAAACACAGGTAGTTAAAAGGTCTGCTCCTGCTCCTGCTCCTGGTCCTGGTCCTGGTCCTGGTCCTGGTCCTGGTCCTGGTCCTGGTCCTGGTCCTGGTCCTCGGGGGTAAGTGCATTCAAAGGTTTGCATCCATCAGTCTGCTGCTTGTTAGCGCAACCAGAGCCTCTCCTGCTGCAGGGAAGAAGTCAAACAGCACCGGCCAACTTCTGTGAAGACACACGCCGCTCTTGTTGTGCGCTCCGGAGGGGCTTTTATACCATACGCCCCCCGTGACAGCGCCCTCCCCCTGGTTAACTCTTTCATCCCTCTGAACCGTCATCACCAGAACTGGACACAATGTTTAGCAAACTACGGTATCAATTCATCTCAAATGTATATGTGTGTGCGAGTATGCATAGATTATTTAGACAAATAAATAAATTAACTAACTAAAGTCGTAAAAACTATTTATGTGTATACTCAATATAAGACATATATTGGATATATATAAGTGTATATTTTCAATTTTATGTATATACATATTTATATATTTTATATATAAACAATATTTTTATTGTTTTATTTTTATTTTATTCATCCTTATATCTCTTATAACTAGGACTTTTACATTTATTAAAGTAAAAGTATCGAGGTTTTACTCCATAATATAAGGTGCAGTATTTGATGACTGAATGTTTTGTCTTTGGTATTTCACGAGTGCTGCGTTTATTATTGCAGTATCAACAGATTCTCCGTGTTTTTAAACATCGATCAGTATCAGTTGTGTTTACGTGTCTCGATAATATTGACTGAGGTGTTGGAAGACCGGTGATCCGCGCAGGCGCACTGGTGACACAGGTCACCCTCAGAGTTACAGACACCGGAGGCGCTTTCCAGGAGGTCCGCTGCTCCTGCTGCTCCTGCTGCTCCTGCGGCCTCGTGTCCAGCAGCCTCAATAAAAACACCAGACGACGGAAGACGCTTTGACACTTCACTTCAGCAAAACAAATGGTCCCCAATGTGATCAGCCCCCGTGATGCTTTTATTGTCCCCTTCAAAGGACACCTAGCCCTGTGTGTCAAATTGTTCACCCAGGAAGGATGCTGCTCCTTCAGCCAAGGCTGCTGCACCAAAACCTCCGGGGGCACAGTAACACCCCCGACCCCTCCCCACCCCTCATGCATCTGAAGGCGGTGAATTTGAATCAATGATGGTCTTACACTGACTGCACTACGTGGTAACGAACAAAATTTAGACCAGAAAGTAACTTATGAGAAAATATAAATGGAATATATTTCAATAATGGTATATAAAAAAATGTAATTTAAAAAAAATTAAAGCCAGGTTAAAATTGATCTGGCTTTCGTTTTAAAATTGTTCAATGTTGATGGTTGAAATAATCGACTAAAATTTAGCCTGATAAGATAACACTTGGTAAGGCGTAACATGTTCCAGTGATCACATTTGGACACTTTTTGAAGAATCACAACATCTGTCTTAGTACCTTTTGACTTCATCCCTTATTAATCTACATTATGTCAAAGGATTTTTAAGATGAAGTGAGGCTTAAATAAAAGTGGAAGACATGGACATGGGGACATGTTTGGTGTTAACAGTAAGAGACTGTTGTGGTGACAGCAGATGAAGAAGAAGGACTACGGCAATGACCAGGCTGAAAATACCACAAATAAAAACCATTTATTCAGAATTCTTCTGATTAATTCGATTCCTGGATCGGGCCAACATTCTAACAATAATGAATGCAGAAATTCCATCTCTATCAGTTAAAGTAGCTTGATGTTTGACCCCACCAAACAGGCCTCAGTCCAGCCGTACTGCGGGCCCAGTGTAGCTGTCTAAACCATGTAAATCTGTCTTTTGTCTAACCCACTTCAAAAATCACTTTCCAAATGGGAGAATCGAGGTCTAAATGGGAAACAGAGCAACGAAAAAGGCTTGTCCGCTTGGACAACGTGGCGGACTTCAAAGGCGAAGCAGAGGATCCCCCTTCTGAGTAACAGCTACATGCCATTCCAATAAGTGCAGTGTATTTGGATCTGCAGTTCAAAAGAGCCTGGTGCAGGCAGGCAGGTCTCTGGGGCCTTGCCACCAGTAGTCCGGCTGCACAGATGTTTTGAATGCCAGCACCGACCATTTGCCACTTCTGCTGAAACTGGGGGCAGTTAGAAGTGACTGCAGGGAAGTTTGGCAGGACATGTGCTTCCCACCTTGCCTGACAGTCGGTGTGTATCAGCCTTACTTCCTGACGTACTCTATGTTTCAGAAGAATAATGTGATCTGAATGCAGGCATGATTTTGATTATACACAATCTTAGGTATATGTCCCCTTTATGGGCATCATTAATCATTTCCATATGCAATATACTGTACCTAAAGGTCAAACACAATTTCACTTCGTGTTTAGTTTGTGGGAATGTATGAGTGTGAATGTATTTTATATATATTTTATAACACCACTTTGAGGTATTTTTTTCTCTCTTTTTACCATTTCTATATCAAATGGAGAAATGCCAGCTACAGTATGCTAACCTATTTTTTTTAAAACAAGTCATTGAAATTTCCTGGTCAGAAAAACACCTACAAATAGTTAAATATGTTCCTTTAAAATACTGATATGCAACAACAGTGTGTATAGAAAGTGCTGCGATTGCTTAGACTTTAGAGGATGGAGTTGATGGCTGTCGTACCTGATCATAGCTCAGCACTTGACAAGCATATGATAAAAATTTGTCCAACTGTTGGATACTCTTGATAGACATGTGTTGACATGTTTTTAAAATTGTCTCAGAACTTTTTGACTCTACCTGCTATGCTTAGGCTCTGAAAAAGAATGATTGATCTTATTTTATTGCATATTTTATTTTTTAACAAACTTACTGTGTATACTACCTTTACTTTTATTTTGAAAAACCCTTCCTGTCCTGTAGGGATTCCATTTAAGGAGTGTTACATTCCCTGCTCGATCTCTTCAAGATATGACCCTGCCCTTCCGTACGTTCACACTGGATCTCAGATTTTAAACACTGCCTAGGTGGCACGTCGAGCTCCGTCCCAGGTTCCTGTTTCACACATCCGTCCTCTCTCGTGAACCTGTTAAAAAATAATATTGTTCATAGCCAGAGTAAAGATGACATATATAGAAATGAATACCAGACATCCTGAGGGCAGTGGGGGGAAACCAGTACTGCATCTGAGGCCACCTTTCTTAATCTTCTCCAAATCTATGTGGAACAGTACACTGCCGTGACATCACCCAGTTGAGGATTAAAGAAACAGTTTTGTATTGTTTCTGGTGATGGGAGCCAGATGTGTGTCTTCACTGACAAAACAAAATCGATTTACCATTGAACATAGATTCAATACGTGTCTTTTCTTTAGGGTTTTTTTCCCTCCAAACGTTTTTTGTTCTGCACTTGTGTCTGTTAGTTCTTCTAACATATTTTCCTAAGGTTGTACCTCACATTTTTAATTCTACCATGAAAAAATGTCATTTTGCTGAGTTATTTATAGGGCAGAAGCACAAACATGTCAGAGTCCTGGGGGAGACAGAGCAAGTGTGGACTAGACCCAGAGTCACACACCGCCACAGCATTATTCACATATAATCCCGTCTGTGTTAATCAAATGATTACTCCACGCCACAGGAATTCAGATTTCACTGCTAATTGCTAGGTAAGTCTGTGGGCTCAGGTGCTGCCTCTGCCGCAGCTCAGATATCGGCCACTGCAACGCAGTACGTGTGTGAAAGAGAACATCACGTCTACAGAACAGCAACAACTAAGTGAATGTCGGCGGTCTTGCCGCTGAAACACGCCATACTGTATGACCTTTTCTTCATTCTCCAAGTTGTTAGATTTTATCTGCTCCTCAGAGGTAATTGCCGCCCGATCTATTGCTGAGAGAAAGGTTATCATTTCTGTGGAAGATTAAAAGTCATGTCGAACAGAGTGGAACTTGTCACTTCAGAGGGTAGTGATAGTAAACGAGGGGCAGGAAAGGTGTGTTTAAGCAGGGGAAGTAAATAAGATATGCACTCCTTTTTTTCCATTTTTACAATGAAAATTTGAATTTTTATTTGTTTGACAGCCCTAGTAAAAAAGTAATCTGGAATTCCACAGTCAGTTAACATTTTAATCATCATATTTACAAATAGATCCAGAAATAAGGTGATAAAAACAAATAATTAAAAAGCAGCTTCCAAACATTTGGTTTCACTGAAGATTAGTAGACAGTAGTAGTTTTTGCTGCTGAACATGAATACATTGACATTAAAGTTTTGTAAAATTTTGTCTGTAAAAAAAAACAATTTCCAAACTGTATATGATAAGAAAAATAAATATGTAAAAATTTGTCAGTAATTCAGTGACGCCTGAGCAAAAATAAACATATCTATTAACAAATGTGTGCAGATGAAGTGTAAATATGTTTTGCTATTAAATCACAATATTTTACAAAATTTAAAAAAGAAGCAGCTGCCAAACATTTGGCTCATTTTCTGAGGCATGGGTACTGTGAGGTGTGTGTATGTGTGTGTAATGGTGTTGCCTAGACCCTAAAGCCTTGGTTTGGCCTGTGAATGAAGGTGTTAATGGTCATATTCACAGTCCAGCTCACAGTCTGTCTCGTCGCAGAGGTCACGCCTAGAGGAGCATTTTCGCCGTGAGAACTTGAGACGCAGGAGGTCTCCCACCTCGTCCAGATGGTGCAGCACCTGAGGACAGGAGAAGAGTATATTTAACTCAGGGATATAAAATACCTGGGGTTGGGGGGTGGTTCATAAGAATTTTCTGTTTTGATTGTGCGTGCGTGTGTTTGTGCACCTCGTTCAGCATATCTCTGGTATGTCCTGCTGACATGCAGAAGCGAGCTCTGGCCTCTGTGATCGGTGTGGCTGGGAAGCCCACCACCACCACGCCAACTTTTCTCTCTAACATTTCTCGAGCAAACGCCCTGACGAAGTGTAAGAAGAGACAGAAGGTTGTAATCAACTTTAATAAAATAAAGTTTTCAAAACAATCTGTTATTTTCATCTCATCTAGTAAGTGCAAAGTGCAGCTGAATGGGATCAGAACGGATATTGATAAACAGAGGGAACACAGTGTGAATGAAGGGACACACTGCATAAAGAATGCTGCTTTTTCGAATTCTTTCAAATTTCTAATCGTGCCGTTATGCTGTGTGGTCTGAATATCTTGCGTTCATTTCTGGAAATCACAATAAATTACCAAAAACACACATTAGTGTCAATTCTCCGAGGTTTGAGCAGCGTCATCCCTGGAACCCTTCTGCGTCACTGAGGCCAAATTGTGAATGAATCCTCATTTTGTGGTAAAGAGGACAGTTTAATGAGTTGAAACCCACAATTTAGCATAATTTAGATGACCGTTGACATCTGTGTGATGCTCTGTGTTGCTGTCCACATTCTCAGAGTCACTGACCGTGTTAGCCTCAGGTGGTTTTAATGATCAGATCTGAACTTGAACTCATTGTGGTCACTTTACACATTGATAGGTGAAAATGTGAGTCATAATTTCCAATAATTCATCCTATACATTCAACATCTGCTTCTAGTTGGTTCATGACTTTGTTTTATTATTGGCTGGACATAGTCTCAAAATATTTTATCTAGCAATTCAAATAAAACATTTAATCGGATAATTCCAGGGTAGCTGTGGTTAAATCAGAATTAATCAGAATTGATTGATGACAATCAAATATGTCACAAATAATCACAACTAATCATGGTACTTCAGATACACAGCTGTTTTTAATCTGTGACTAATTCTAACTGTGACGCCCAGCTCACTGTGTTTGTCTTTTAGATCTTTTAGTCCTACTCCTTTCACCGTGTGTCCATGCCTACCTCGTCTACCTGTGTATCTCTTCATGGTGATTATCTTAGCCACTGAAAATGTCTGCCCCAGCTGAAGTTCTAATTAGACCACTGATCTACATGATTCAGACGTAGGGACAGAACACCCGACTATTGGGATTTCTTCTAAGACCCAATATCAGAACATATCTGTTTCCCTTTGATTGGTTTGAAAAAAAAAAGAAAATTAAACAGAGAAGCCAAACAAGAGTGTTTTAGATTTGTTTCTGCCAACAGTTGGAAAGTAGAGGTAAAAGCAAATGCTACAAAATGAAACACAGTAAATATCCTCATTGTGCTGATTATAAATAGCTAAGTGGTTTCAGTGAGATCTTAAAAGTACTTACACCACTTTTCCTGGCATGTAGAGCAGGATTGGAACTACCGGTGAGTTATCCTGGCCGTAGATGATGAAGCCCATCTCCCTCAATCTGGCTCGGAAAAATCTGGTGTTCTCTGCCAGTTGGCGGATTCGCCTAATACCTCCAGTTAAAAAAGAGCAGAGCAGATGCATGAGTTAAGCATCACCTGCTGCTTCTCCTCTGTCCTACATGGAGGATGTCACCTGTCAGAGAAAGCTAATGTATGTACTGTGTGGTGTTCTGTGCGATGCCAGCTCATCCTGCTACTCGCTCCATCTGGGCCGTACCAACCTCCAGAATGAATTTGCTCAGGATTATAACTCAGCTGTGCGAGCAGATGGTTCAGTTTTGTCGGCCTGGTATATGCATATGCACGCTGCCAAATTGGATGCGATGGATTTAACATGAAATGATTGAACAAGGACTGTATCTGGAGCGCAGCCATGAGGGAAAGTGGAAAACAAATAACGCTTAAGTAGAGCACGCAGACTCCAGATACAAATCAGTGCACAAATAAGAATTAGTGCAGTCTGTCTGTTCTGCTAACTCCTTCATAATAAAAAAAAAATCGCTTGGGAATCCAGTTACGCTGAGTCGTCGACAGGGTTCGGCGAATTCTGGCATGTCTCTCTTTGTGATTACCTGGAAATAGATTGGCAGCTCCTTCAAAGGGATACAAGGGAGTTCTTTAAATCTCCTTATCTCAGCAGAGAGAGGGGCTCGAGTTGTTACGTTCTGCCAAAAAGCACAAGCTCCATTTTGTAAGTTATTTCTCTGCTAAGATTGAGGGCAGGGAGGCAAAAAGCCTGCTGTCAGGCAGGAATAATGTGAGTAAGAAAGACTCTGTGGGTGTTGGGACGAGGGTGTCTTCCTAATTTTGGAGCAGCTGCCATCAGATGTCTTCAGTGTGTGAAATTCAACATGAAAGGGAAAGATAGGGAGGACAAAGGAATACTATTTGGTATATATTTAAACAGCATGTGGCACCTCTGGTCGCAGTATGTGTTTTGATGGACACCGGAGCTGGTGTTTTGAAAGACTGCACTGTTTGCTGCGCTCCCTTCCTTCTGTCGGATGGGTCAAGAGTGAGTTTTCCACAACAGATATTTCACTGATCTATGTCAGGGCCAAAGCACGTCTGCTTGGGAGTTTCTTTGCGTGACAAGACAACATACTTGGCGGCTCACTTGAATTCAGTCCAAGCATAGTTTACGTGACCTGGACGTTTGTATGTCATACACAACAGTTGTACAAAAGATGAGTTTAGGCAGCTTTATTCTCTAAATCTCCCTCTACAACAGCTACTGCGGAAAATATAGCTGCAATAACTCTGTGAAGTACTGCTGTGGTGGTATCAGGACTAGTCCGATAATGACTACTTCCCTGCCCTGATGTCTGAAGTTATTAAAGGAGAAACTTTTCAGAGGTACAACGTTCCTTAAAACACACATATGAAAATGATTTCCTCCCCCAATGGGGTCACGTGTGCTCACGGACTGCATGTCCCCCCTTCTTTCTGCTGCCGCAGACCCCAGTAATTGCTACCACATTTTCTGAGCGAGCAGCTGTTTGTCTTTCCCCACAGGTCTGGACTTACTCCTAACATCGGTACTGTTACTCTGGATTTGGTTTGCTATTGTTTCATAAAATAACACTGAGGTGTAAAAATTTTTATGAGCCAGACATAATATTTGTCTGCGTGAGGAATATCAGACTGGACAAGTATGTGGCTAGAAGGATTCAGATTAATTGTGGCATCCACTAGTTGGAAAGAGACTGTACTGATTTACTCACCTTCTGTGGTCCCATCTTTTCCCATAATGCACCTGAGGGCACGTATGATCTGCTCAGTGACAGGAGGAGACATGGCTGTGGCATATATTGCGCTGTGGGAATGTTGTCGAAGGTAATCGACCAAATCCTGTATTAAACCAAAACACAGATAAAACGTATTATTAAAAAATCGACATCACATAAAGTTTGGGCTGAAATAACAACAATCACTAAGCTTCTTTTTATTTGGTTAACATATATATATATTTTATTATATATATATATTTTCCCCAAACAAGCTTTACGGCCATAACAGTAGCATGGTTGTTTACACTCTATTAACTTGACTTCCATGGCATTGACTGTAAAACAAAGTAGACTTTTGTTCACTCCATTCTGCAGCAGCCAAAGACCAATATGTGAAGGAAGTGAAATGAGCCAGAATTATGATTGTCGGACTCATTATTCCTAAATGTCAGCAGAAGATTTGTTCGGCTCATGGTTGTCAAGAATAGACAAGGATTTCAGGAAACAGATTCAGTCATGGGTTTTCTAGCATATGTGTAAGTGGTCTGAGGTTGGGAGCTGGCCTGGAGCTGTGACAGGTTGTGCATGGTGGCTGTGTGGTGGCCAGTGGGTGAAGGGTGATGACACATAGCCGGAGATGTTGTCTGGCCACCATTTCCACTCACTGCCATCTGTCCTCACTGGGCGGTGGCTGTGGCTTCCTTCACACACATTAGGGGAAGGGATTTTAGGGGAAATGCTTAAACATAAGATAAGAACTCTGAAACAACCAGACATCTGTTTTCGATTAGGGCGGAGGATTTTCACAGTTTCAGGACCCTGCAGGACTTTGGTGTGACAGAGGAAAAAGTAAAAAAAACATTTCCAAAATGCACTTCCACATCTCAGACAGTCCTATGTTTTCTCAGCCATGTAGTGGCCACCATACTACTGTGGAGATACAGTCCACAGTGACATGGAGGTGGAGCGGTGCCACAGCAGCACAAACACTTCTTCAAACTTAGTTCCTCAATGGAAGTATTCAATAACCTTTTCAGTGGAATCTTAAGTAAAGGGTGGATTAATTACATCTCTTTATTGTAAGGTTGCAGTGAATTAGAAGGAGCATATTTACTGGAGCCTTTATTTTGGGCAATCTCATAAAATAGCTACAACATGAACACATCTGCACAGTGATGTTTTTTTTTTTTTTTTTTTTTTTTTGTCGTTCAGCTCCAAACTGCTTAATGTAAGATTTAGGGGATTCACCACAACAACTATGTCAAATTTTAAGGATTTCTTGCTATTTTCCAGCCTGTTTCTAGGAGTTTACTACAGCCAGCTGTCAAACCGTACCCAGTGCTCATACTTCAAACATTATCATGCTTGTTAAAAGTCATCCTGTAAAATCTAGAGCGCAGTTCCGACGCCTGCCACAAGAAGGGGCTGGCCCTCTGCCAGCTTTACCTTCTGATTATGGCAGAGCAGGGCTGAGCCAACAAAAGTCAACAGCAGGAAGGGTCCCTCACTGAATAACTAATTGAAACAACATGGCCGTTTCCTCCGCTGCGTTCTAATCAACTGCTACAAAACCCATGCGGTTATGTACTGAAGTGTAGACTTTAATGGAGTAAAAATGGAACACAAAAGCACAGAGTCACAGCCTGGCCAACATTTGTTGGACACGTGAAAGCAACATAAGTGGCAAGATGTATGCCTGAGTCCTGAAAAACAGCGACGTGTGAAACGGTGTGTGAAGTGTTCTAACCTGCGTAGCGGCCAAATAGGTCAGCACTGTTGCCAGGTTAAACTGTTTAGAACCAGGGATTGACCCGGTATAATTTGGCTTTCTAGGAGACAGTGTTGTAAAAATGACAACTAATAAAAAGGGTTTGGATGCAGTTAAAATGACCAACAATTACCTTGGTGTTATTTTAAAGCAACATTGACACAGGGTGAACAAATGACCAGGTGTTAACATTTTAACAGTAAAAAATAAATAAATAAATAAACTTTGAATGCACCTTTTTCCCGGCTACGTAGCCTCCAGCAGCCCCAAAGCTCTTGGTGAAGGTGCCCATCATAATGTCCACGTCATTTGGGTTCACATTGAACAGCTCAGTCACTCCCCGACCTGATGGTCCTACAGCACCAATACTGTGGGCTTCATCAAGGTACAGAAAGGCTTTATACTTCTTCTTAAGAGCGATGATTTCTGGCAGTCGCACCACTGAACCTTCCATGCTAAAGACACAGAGCACACAGATGTATTTACTATGTATTAGCAAAACAAAAAACAAAAAAAAAAGAAAGAGAGTAAACTAAGTGTGTGGGTTGACAGCTGACCTATAGATCCCTTCCACCATGATCAGAATCTTCCTCCAAGGCCTGTGAGTGCGAGGCTGACCTGCGCAAACTGCCTCCCTCAGCATCTTTTCCAGACTGTGCATATCTGACAAACACAAAAGAGCCAGAACAATGCATAACATACACAGACACATGTTAGAGCTGAGGATCTATCTTATCAAGAGAAAACCAAAAAGAAGAGCATAAAAGTAATAATATTTATGCTACAAACATATTTAAATGTGCATGTATTATGTGCATTTAGTACTGGGTAAATCTATAAACATCTTAATTATATTAATAACTAAAAGAGAGGCGTCTCAGCAGAACCATTTAGACAGTGAACAGCGTCTACGCAATACCGGGGCTTTAAACCAGCAGATGGCAGTGTTGGATAGCTGTGGCCCATAAAGATAATCAGTCCTAGCTTGAGACTGCAAATCAACCATTTCCAGGTGAGAAGCAAGTAAATCTGCCTGGACTAATAATCTGTCATAACTGATTGATATCACTGCCTCCACACCAAAACAGATTTGATTTATAGGCAGCTATTGCTCCTCTGATACTTTCACTTCTTCCAGCTCTGCATCAGAATCCCTGTGTTACTGTCAGCACAGAGGAAACAAGTCCACAAAGTCAAGAACAAGGACAGACTGTCTGCGTAAGACAGGAAACCATCATGTGAATTTAGATGTTGCTTTTTACATTTGAGATTTGCTTCTGCATGCAGGTAAAAAGAGATTGTGCTATATAAGCTCTGATGTTGTGGTAGTGATAGAAGGCGACAGAACCATAGTTCTGTCTCATTTTAAAGTCCAAGAAAATAACATTGTCAAATTATTGAAAGAACAACTACATTAGCTTTACTGCTATGCAACTGCTTAAAGTGGAAGTAGTAAACAAAAAGTTAAAATATAAAACATAATTTATAAGTTTATAAGTCCAGGTGATCACCCTACTGTTTCTCTGTCACATTCAAAGGTTTAAGATCCTCTCATATGGTTATTTGTCAACAAAATCTGGACAAGTTAAAATCTGGATATTCGTGATAAACAAGAAGGCAGAAGACCTGAACAACAGGTTAAAAGAATAGGAAGGGTGCAACCCTTTAAGATTTTTCCTGTTACAAATATTTCAAAAATTTCAAAACAACCACAGATGCACGAAACAGAATTTAAAAACACAGAACACAAAAAAACAGAGAGTAGTTTAAATTCTACTAATTCTAGGCACATATTTCCACAATGTCCCAAACAATTCTTATCATAACCCAGAATGTGCATCGATAAACAGTGCTGCAAACACTCATTAAAAATTGATTATACTATTAGAGGTCATTATTGGAAGGTAATTGTGTTAAAGTTAATTGTCTTAAAGAAATGTCTGGATTACTAAAGGAGAGGGGACATGGATGGGTCAACTACTCAGGTGCCTCACAGCTCCTTGCCTTCAGTCAGACCCCTGGGATCTACTTTAAGGACCTACAACTGCCTCTGCTTGTATCTGTCAAGACACATTTGCTGCCAAAGGACTGCTCCATTTGTCCAGTCTGCTGTAACAGCAGACTGTGTTTCCATTCAGGGAACAATGCCTGTTTGGTCACTCATGACAAGTCAGTGTCTGTTCAGCCTATGCAATATATATATGTACAGTATACTGGGGTGTCAAAATTAACATTTTAACTATGATAAAAATCAGATTAAATTTTTATGCCTATGAGACACACTGTGTCCAATAATTCTGCTGTCTATCCACTTATCCTTGTTGTTATTTACACACTCTACAGGAAAGCATTTTTGTTTCACTTTATCTACTTGAATGAAAGAATGCCATCTCAACACGTAGCAGGTATTTCTGGAGACATAACTTCAGGTCAAACAACCAACTTGTGTCAGATCGGCGTCACAAAGTGCAGGGCAGTAAGAAAGACTACAGCTGATAAGCTGCCTGACTTCTACAAGTCACAATCTCAATGCATAACATCTTTAATAATACCATCACAATTAATGATAAATAATCTTGATTAATCCACAGCTATCCTGTGGTTAAGTAGATTTTAAAATGTAACTGTTTCACGGCTATGTGTGTGAATACAAATATGAATGATTTATTTCTCTAAAACAAGACATTGAGAACCAGCTCTTTTTTTCATAGATGAAATAAAACACTGAGTTGACTCTAAGCTGAACCTGTTTTGGTAAAGCTTTTACACCCCAGCGCAAAATTACCGAATGTTAGATAAGCTTTTCCTAAGGCAAATTCTGTAACCCACTGAAAGTATTCTGTTTCTCACATCACTGTTGTCAGAGATGGGGAACACACAAAAAAACAAACAGAGGCAGTTGATGCAGACTGAACACCACAATTATCTACAGCTAATTCCAGGTGAAATGTTGTTTGGTGTTTCAAAACAATCACTTGTGGGAGCTGAAAGTGTAGGAGAACAGTAGCACCATGGCAGCCACCTCTGTTTATAATCCAAACAATGCCTCGTGTCATGTGCTGTTGTTATCTACTGTAGAAGCACTATGACATATGTTCATGTTAAACAGATGGCAGACTCACCATTGTGTTTGAACACCCTGATAGTGGCTCCTGACAGCCTGGCCCCTAAGATGAGAGATGTGTGATTGAGCTCATCGCTCAATATCAAACAACCCTGAAAACCAGCAGAACCAAAAAGTTATTTAAATGCTAATAAAAATTCTATTCTTTACTATAGCAGAAATGTTTTTCTTCAACATTATTGTACTGGCTTCTCCATTTCTAAAAACACATCATGTATTTGGTAGTACTAATGGCAGTATAACTTGGTCATTGTCATTGACCAAGTGTACAGCATGAGTGTGAGTGTGAATGGTTGGTTGTCTACATGTGTATTTGGCCATGTGTTGTGATTTTATTACTGTCTTGCAAACTTCAAGACTGGTGTTTTTAACAGGACCTGACAGTGTTTGTGCTGTACATATGAAGATGCTAGTAACAAGCATTACTTGAAATGTGGAGAAACAATGGTTCTGTATAACTGACATGCATCTGATAAATCTGATGATGACGTCAGAGGCACTACAAAAAAACCCAGACAAGTATTTCTGGTGTCTAAAGAAAGTCCAACCCTTATATCAGTGGTTGTATGCAGCAAAAAAATGCTTGTGGCCTGTTGGTTAATTGTTCAGTCTGTGTCTGAAAAAGTTTAGTTTAGTCTTGTTTTAAAATGAGACAATTTTATCATAATAAAGAACATGAAACATTATATTCTCCACAAACAGCATGCAAATGGCTTCAGCTATTATTCAGGACATTAGCATATTTCGGCCTGATGCTCTGAGTTTTTTTTAATGTGAATTAGTTTTCAAAAACTGTTTCAGGCTGTTTTACTGCACCATCTCAGTGACAGATAGTTCCAGATTTTGCCTAAGGTGCAGCAGGCCTGGTTTCTGGACTTAAAGCTGTCACTTCAGGAAAAATCCTGTCCCTGAAGGACAGAGTTGGCAGCGTGGGTTGACCCAGGCTTACTCTGTAGCCTTGGCCTGGAGGAAGATGCTTCACTTTTTGTGCCGCATAAATGACCTCCAGTCTTATCACTTAAACCTTCAAACCTCCCCCTCCTTCTGTCTAGTCAAATCAAAAGATAATCAAGCCATGTGTTGCTCTGGTAACCTGCGGCCATCATTGAGTCAGGCTGGTGTGTCGTCAGACCAGAGTATGGTTAATCACCCCCCTGAGCTTTGCTCTTAACAAGTCCTGTCCTTTTCTACTGCTGTGTCTGAGAGCAGTTCTGTGTGCCCAGAGCCTCCTCCCCCAGGGTACTGTTTTGTTACATTATGATCTTCATTACTGTGTGCGGTCTGCAGAAGATGTCACTCTTTAATTTAGACCATGTATAAGAAATAAACCAAGTATTCTAGTACTACTTTTTTTTAAATGTACAAATATCCCACACAGTTCTTCCAATGGAATAAATGGGTATTGGTTATAAGTAAAAACTATACACACCTTGCCTACTAGTGCTGGAATGTTCATTGAGTTGGTGGCAAAGCCCATCCCAAAAACCATGGAGGATTCCACTGTAAGGAAACTGGCCACAAGTGTTTCCAAATCTTCATGTAGACTCAAGTTACCTAGAGAACAGAGATAATGAAGTGAGACATGTGGATTCATTCACTGCTGTATATCTGTAATGCACTCACGACAGTTAGAGGCTTGACAGCAATAAATGCTCCTTCATGAATGAAAAAAAAACCCAAAACAAAATCTTGAACTTTATGCACAGCATATAATCAGTGCCTCTAACTTTAGGACCATATACCTCAGCTGTGTATACTGTAGGTAAGAGTGAAGTAAATAGGTGTTTTAGTACAATTACTGTTTTTGATTAGCCAGGTCTGATTGGCCAGGTCTACAATGTTTCAAATGATTAAACGGCACATTACAGGAGAGTGAGATAAGTGGTAACCCAATCTGACAGGGAAATTGATCAGGGTATAACTGGTTCTGTTTGACAATGTGTTTTTGTCTTTTGCACAATGCAATTGAGAGATTAAGGTATCACTGGAGGCCTTCAATACTTCCCTCAGTGGCAAACCACTAAAACATGACGGCTCTAAAAGTGACCTTCAGTGAGTTAGGCAGCAAGGCGATCCTATAATGTCCATTTTTTCTTTTTGGTGGCTAATGATGTCCATACATTATATGATATTATATGATGTTTGTATGCAGATGATGATATCTTTAACATACCACTAAAAACATCATATATACTGTAGTACTGAAGTACTAATGACAATATTTACGTTAATGAGAGACTAAATTGTCATAAAATAGTTTTGACTTCACTTTGGTAATTTTCACTGTACATCTACCCTTTTCTTCTCAACACGTCTGTATACTAAACCTAAACCAACAGAAACAAAAAAAACTTGTTGGAAGGTGGGGACTGTGAACTTCCGTTTTATTGTAATTCATGAATGTTTGACTTGTATGTTTATACACAGGGTGAGCTCATAGTGCACTTTGTATCTATTTACTTTAGCAATAAAAAGGGAAGCATCTCAAATCACGTGGTAAGGAGGAAGTGGCTACACTCACACAACAAAAATATGTTTTAAATGTGGTTGACTCTTAAACTTTAATGCTTTCCACCAATACATACAGTACTGCTCCATGTGAAGTAGAACAACTGTTGTGATGATGTCATTGTAGCTACAGAGACAGTGGGTTGTTTAATAATTAATGCCTAATAGGGTCTCAGAGGAGAGTTGCTTTTTCTACCTTAACCCTGTCACTGAAGCCCAGATTGCAAATTAAACATTAAAACTGTGCTGATTGAATGATGTGCATAGAGAAATAGTCTGCGTGAGTGTGGTTCTGAGTGCGTGTGTCTGAGACCGACAGGTAAACGTACAGCTAACGATCACATGCCCTCTGATTCTCCTACTTTTCTGTGTTCTTGTCAAAGTTCTGTTATTATGCAACGCTGCGCAGTGACTCCACTCACACTGAGGCTGCATGTCAGCTCACCTTCTGCTGCTCTGCACTCAGTGTCAGAAACAGACAAGAGCTAAACAACATGCTGACAGTGAAAAAAGGAAACACTTTAACAAAATAAGCATCGCTCCTTGTGCAATTTTAATAATGCTCTTTAGTTTTCCACAAGCAAGTTTTGATTTAAAAACAAACAAACACACCTAATTTTAATCCTGTTTGTATCCTTAGAGAATGCAAATACAAAACCAGAGGAGGGTGGGCTGAAGCCTCACTAATGTAACTATTCAAAATGTATGTGAAGATATCAGTTCCTCTCATCATCCCACATTCCTATCACATCTTCTTTAATGTCCAGGGATTTTCATGATGTTATATTCTACTAAAATATGGTTTTCTGCTCTACTCAGCACAGACGGGTATTAAATGATCTCTGCTCATGCCCAAATTGTACATAATTTAACAAAGGTTGAATAATTCATATTACATCACAGGCACTGAAAGATAATTAAACATATGAGCGGTATAATTTTCCGGAAAGATAATAAATGATGACAGATGATATGACAGAAAAAGAGTCTGACTTCTACTTTGAGTCACAGCCTATCCTGGTGTTACTGCTGGAGATTTTTATATAGTGCAAATCCACAATATGTTAAATAAAATAACAGAGATTCTGGCATACTGCCACGACTTACATGAGACTTAGGCTAATGGTCCTCATTCAGGCTGGTTAGATGTATCATGTATAAATCTATGTTGTGGAACTCACCTGTTTCCTGCCTCGTGCTGCAAACTCCGACTCCGTAGTTTAGCGTTTTCTCTGCCACAGTTTTGAGAAAATCAGCATTGTTTTCTGCAAAACCGAGGTAGTTGTACGAGCCCATGTTAATCACGTTGTGTATCGTCTTGCCAGTTAACCTGCAAAACAGTTATAAATTAATAATTCACCATTATTTTTGTCACACATCTAAGGTATGAATTTGGATGGCAAAATTGATAATCAATGTGCAAACAGCAGGTGACTTTATTTAAAAAACCTGAATGTCCAGTTGTAGTCGTCAGACACTCTCTCCATCAGGTCAAAGACAGGTCCTGGGAGGCTGCACACTGGACGATTCCAGTTGTCCCGTACCCTCATGTACAGGTTTCTGGTGTAGAAGTTTTCAAAATCCTGATAAAGCGGCACAAATCTCTGTATAGGGGGGGCGTTTACAGTAGGTATTAAGATGTCATATAATAAGGAAAAATAAACTGTAATATGTCGGTGTGTAATCATGTTTCACACATTTAAAGCTGCTCAACAATGCAAAATAGTTTTTTCATAACATATTTATATATATTTTAAAATAGATAAGTGAATTATATTAACAAATGTTAAAGCATTAAAACAAAAATACAAGTCCTCACTTTGACTTTATATATATAGTGTCAGTGCCCACCATATACAGTATATAACAGGGGCCAACTATATTTTTCAGAGGGCCAGAATTTTTTTGGAAAATGAAAAAGAATCACATCTTTGTCTATCAAGTTTTCAATTAGAAGTCAAAACTGTTCAGTATATATGAATTTATGAAGATATCATAACACAGAGCAAACTTTTAAATATTATCTACTTTATGAAAATGTCTGGATGTTTCTTTTTTTTTTTTTGCATTTCTTTACCATATATGAAAACACCAACTAAATATAGACACCTTTTCTTGTTTTAGGGTTTGCAGCTTTTTATGGGAACTGAACAAAACAAGTTGTTAGCAAACCAGTAACTTTTTTGTATTTTTGACAGCAATTTTTAATTGACTACACAAGAAGTAAAATCCATGACAACTCAGTGGCTTTTCATGCGGCAGTGTCAGGCCTTATCTAGAATCTAAAGCACAGCAACAAAGAAAGAGCTGAAATCCTCTGAGATTTAATTAGTTCTTCTACAGATATTCTCTGTGGTGTCCTGTCCCTCGCATGGCAACATTTCAGTGCAGAACAACACGGGGAAAGAAGATGGAGGCAGTGTACAAAAGTGGAAATAATTATGTGGGAAAGAAAACGTGTTAACATTGACTATGCGCCGTGTCTGTTCTGTGTTGATTGCATATTTTACCTACCTTCTGCTCCTCTCTCTCCTGCGTGATGTGACACTTCTCTAAGCCCACAGCTCGGAGGAAGTCTCTGAGGTAGCCAAACAAGGTGACGATGGCAAAGCCCAGGTATGTCATGACAGCCACATACATTGGCGGTTGTTCAAAGGACTCCTGCCTGTGCTCCCTGGAGGAGGCACCACAGAGAGGACCATTTTTCTGTATGACATGAGGCCCACATGAGCTGTCTTACAATTCAAATGATACAAGTAGAAACAACACTGTTTGAATACAGGAAATGGGTTGTATCACACTTCAATAAACTGAATGGAAAATGAAGATAAGGAAAAAAGTGCCCTACTGGTGCACTTCTGTCAGGTAATAACAGATAATGTCCAACATTAGAGCAGGAGGAGAGGAGAACCCACAGGCCTTTTTTTTTTAAAAGGAGTAATTAGCAATGTGACTGTCCATAAGGAGTGTGGTTCAATGAAAACCTATCAATGACTATTGTCAATGACATGCAAACTCACACTCATTGCTGTAATTGTGCTCTTTTATGTTTTGAATATCAGATTGTAAATATATAAAATAAATAAAATAGAATTCCGTTGGTGTTGCCACCATTTCTCTCAAGTCTCTTTTGAAAAAAAAAAGTTTAATCACAATTAAAACTAACTAAATATATAGAGAGATATATGTATTTTTATTAGAGTATTTGTTATTATACATATTTGTATAGCACTTAGGTCAACTGAGGCTCTTCAACTTTTTGCAGATGAGTCACCTTTGCAGCTGTAATAGTATATATATTTCATGGCATTTTATTGTATAATTTATGGCATAATTTCCTCAAATCATAACAAAAACACACCAATCTTTCCACATTAACCATACATAACCCATGTAATAACGGATATAATGGCCTTGTACTTAACTGTATTCAATAATTAACTGGCAGACAATTAAAAAAGCTGTGTCATCAGTCAATAAACCTCATACTCACTGCTATAACCTATCTAGGCAAAACATACAGTGATGTTTGACTCTATAATGTTTGTTTTTCATAGACCTAACATACAGTATCTGTAGGAAGGTGTCAGAATAAAGCAGCAGCTGTTGACATTGTTTTTAAGATCTGTTATGACAATTCAGGCTGTACGACCATAAAAAATACAGGGATCGGGGCTGGCACTAATGTTGTTAGTAGGATTTAGCTGTCATGCATCTTTTATAACCAAGCAATCCCTGTCTATTGGTAAAAAAAAAATGCTCGCCCATAAAGAGGTAATAAACATTCCACAACATATTAACATACATTCTCAAAGTACATGATTTAAAGGAAACTTTTTTTGAAAAGTTTTTAAATTGCATCCATTCAGGTCTTTTTTGGTCAAATAACTGCTCTAGAAATTATACCAACGGTTGTTTGTTTTTTGTTTTTTTATTAGGCTCAAATTAAAATAATAAAGGTTTTCAGTAAAAAAAACTAAAACTAAATTCGACTGAAGGCATTATGCGCATTTGTATTGTATCATTTGTATGCGAAGCCCTCATTTTACATACACTTCTTTAATGTGACCGCACCTTTTAAACTCGCCCAAGGGTACAGAAAAAAAACCTGCTGTTGAGAAGGAATGTATGGGCGGGGTTATTGGCTTCATTTGTGGTTGTTTCTATTAGTTATTTTAACGTTTATATTTTTTACATATAGAAATCTAAAGAAAAAAATAAAGCATTGCATCATGAAAGTCCATGGGAACCTCTGGCAACTCTCTTAAGTTTCTCTTTAGCTGGAGATCTGACTAACTGTCAATACGAGAATCTCGTCTCGCTAACATTAAAGTGAATATTCTCCTTGTGTGACGTAAAAGCACAAAACAAACTATTTTAGGTGAAGGTTTCTTAAAAACGTGTATGAAAACCTTAGTCTCGGAAGCCATAGCGCACAGTGCAGACAGGTATTTGTAAACAAATGACGCACAGTTGGACACATACCTGTCCGTGGATGTGGAAGCCATTTTTCTTTGTAATGTGGTTTAGTCCATTATAGTTGATAAGGTTTTTGGAGCCGTTGACTGCAGCTGTGGCCATTCTTGCTCTGCCGCAGCGGGGTCTCCTGTCTGTCAGTCTGTGTGTGTCTGCGTGTGTGTGTGTCAGGTGAAACCGGTGTCTGCTCAACACTCAGAGGTTACTTCCTCCTTCTGCTGCTTCCTCAACACACTGCAAAAATGTCATTGTTTTTTTCCTACTTGACACTGTAATAACTTCTCTTTCTTAGGATTCTAAAAACGTGACACGAAAACGCGTCAAATGTTTTCACTGAAAAATGTCAGTTCAAGCTATAAAATTTATTATTTTTGTATTATAATTATAACGTACTTACGGTAACTGGCGTCACATGTCATTATATCACCGATTATGTCACACATTGAATCAAGTAGTTTCTATTTTAGTACAAGTGATATTATAGTTCTTATATCTATGCTGTTTTGAAGCATTCTGTAGTACTTTGTCATTGCCCGTTGTTCCCTTTGCATTAACGCATTTGTTTTCCTCTGAATTTGTTTTTCTCAATAGAAAAAAGGTCAAACTGATAAATAACGGACAAAAACACAATGGATGCGCACAAAGCCATTAGTAATTTCGACTTTTGTTTATGTCAGCTGCCGTGACAGAAAAAAAATACATTTTGTGACAAATAAAGATGCTTTTAATTGAAATGTTTTTCAAGTCCTTCCTGTTTTTCTCTCTTCTTCCACTTTCTTTTTTTCTTTTGACTCATGTCTTCTCTGTTTTTCCCCTGTCTTGTATCTTACTAGCTATATTTTGATGGNTATAGTGCTGGACAAATTTATTTTATTTATATATTCTCTTCCGTGTCTTTGTGTGTTGCGGAAGAAGTGTTCAGTCAGTTAGTGGTTTTCAGATGACTGGGCACAGTTGTTAAGATTGCCCTTTTTTTATTTTCACTTTTTGTGAAAGCTCTTTCTTATACTGTTAAGACCGAAATGAAACAGATTTTCTGTTAGTTCTCTATTAGCCAGCTACAATTTCATATTAGCCATACTAAGAAAGTGTACAACTTTACTGCCTGTATTCCACTATATCATCTTAGCCTTTGACCAATAAATGTATCCACACATGTGTACCCTTTGACAACCTTGAACACACCTAGAAACAAACAGCAGAGCAGGCTCACATGTTTTATAACAATCTAATACTACAATGCCAGTGACGTGACTGTTGTAAGTGGCCCTGGAACTAGTGGGACACTTTTTTGGCAGATCACGTAAATTCCAAAGCATTTATTTCCTTTAATTTGTCCCAAATTATCCACTTTGAAAAACCTAAGGTGAGCCTTTTGCTTATACAAAATGACAGTGATCCCAGGTATATTGTGCACTGGTTACATGTAAATAGAAATATCTATATACTTATAGTATATATTAAAAAAAATATTTTAAACCCTTTGTTTTTCTTCACTCAGAGACTCCATCTTTGGGAACAAGGAGACACACTTTGTGGTAGTTTTATAGTTGGTTATTAGCTCAATCCCCATAAATCAGACACACTAATAACAGCATTGTTCGAGTCAAACTAGACTTGTAAACCTCTGTACATTTCGTGACAGCATGTTGTCCACTGCATTTTATGCTTTGCCAAAACCCCCAACATGCTTCTTCCTAAAAGTTCACGCCTATGCAGTGGTCTGCTGGCACGCATGCAGTAGTTTGTGGGTGTTCAGTGAATTTGAATATGCAAGGTGTTACAGTTTAATGAGGGCTTTTGTTTGCCTCCTGTTGACAACAACGTATGGCTTTTTCAGGGAGATTCTCTCTGGTCTGTGGGTCTGGTCTGTGGTCTGTAGAAAAGTTAAAAGGAAGTTAGAGCTTGGAATGCATGTGTATGTCTGAACATTAACTCAGGAGACTAGACTATGTTTTGGCTTCCCCCCCCCCAGTTAATTTCTATGGCAAGTTTAAGATGTCAAAAAATATCACAATGCTATATTCAATGTACACTGTTGCAGGCACTATTTGTTTAACTTCCTAAAGCATATGTTACATAAAACGTCACAAATTCTACACTCTGTGTTTGTCGTTTCCCTGCAGGACAGAGAGGAAGAACCAGAAATGTAAGTGACTTTGTGTTATAACAGTGTCCTGTGACATGCACAAAACAATGTGACTCTACAAGTATGTAATGGACAAATTATATAGTCTGAAAAGCTCACAGAAGACAAAGAGGAGGATAGAACTGTAAACAAAGTATAATTTTTCCTGGTAATATATGTATAACATACATTCAAAAACTGGTAACTGAACCAGAATTTTACACATAAGCAGAGGTGATTTATAGGTGATTTTTGCATCTGGTAATAATAACAACACCCAAATGCAAACCATTATCCAGAACTTACTGATTTTTATTTTTATTTACTAATAGCAACAGCGGCAGCAACTGTGACGTAAACATTTCAACATTTCCCCATATCGTCTCCCGTCACTGCAAGAGATTGAAAGTACGAGATGTTCCTGAACGCACCGGAAATAGGCTGTCAGGTCTTAAACGTAAAACCTGTGTGGACGCGCAAATGCAAAACGTTACCACATCAAATAGTGAGTGCGCTCCTTTCAATGTTTCACACAAGCGTCGGGAAAACATCACGTGACGCTCTGACGCGCAAATACCGGAAACTGCTAGCTCACATCCAAAAGTTTGTTTTTGTAAGTATAAACTAACAGCGTTTTTACACTTTGCAATGCTATGTGACCTTCCAAAATAATTGTGTGCAAGCATTGAATTGCAAGTGTTGACTACTGGTTTACTTTGCAACTCTCGGGATGAGTAAATAAACGTATTACAAAATCTAGTATGCAAGCATGGTTACTATTGCAAATAGTGGTTTGTTTTTACGATTAATGAATAATGCATCCAACTGCAAAACCACTTCCTTATGATGAAGTTAATATGAAGCATAGTGACCTTCCTGACTGACAGCACTGCGAACCACTCAGTTGCTGCCTGGCCCCATATCCTTTTAACACATCTCATTCAAGATTATAAGTGTGAGTGTATACTTTACAGCTATTCAAAATTTGACAGACACCATTTCCTACATGTGCAACCCACCAGAATTGAAAACCAGGCTGTCTCTTTGACATGTGTCTAGAAGTCCTAAAGTCTTCATTTAAATTGCAGAGCTAGTAGAAACAGACCCTCTTTGAATGCATTGTGTGATGTTTTGGCTGAAAACACTTGGGCCCTGTGGGATGACACATGTCATCTGCCATCACTTCTAAGCTGCCTTTCACTTCACACTAACGGATGATGGTTGGTGGTGTCTAATAACTCAAAACTCTTGTCAGGGAGGGAGGGGATTCAGGGTGACATTTGCATGAGGGTAAACTAGGAGTGCTGACAGTGGGTGAGTGCTGGGAGATCATGTGAATTGGAGTTTGAGTGACGCTGGTGGAAAACAACATATCTTGAATCTAGATTAGTCGCCGTGCAGCTGGCCGCAACACAGAGGAGGATTGAGTGAAAGGGAGTATACCCACAGTCTTAGTTAATTTGGGTTTTTCTCAGCTTTCACTGCCTCTTAGTTCAACTTGAAGTTCTAAATGGAGCTGTCACAGTGGCTGGTGACTCCCTGCTTTCAGTAAAGGATTGCTTTCTGTCTATGGCACAAGATAACACAGCTCAGTATGGCCGCATCAATATGTTCTGGTAATGTTTCTTTAAAAGCTATAATGAACCCCAAGTATAACTATTTGATGTTTTCTGTGAGTCAGGAATGGTATAAACAAATGTGGTCAGTCTTAAAGGAGGATTAAGAAATTAAGTTGGTGTCTACCGGGAGATAGTCTGCTTTCCTCTTCAGCAGGCATCTTTGATGTTTTTAGTGTGACTAAAGATTGGATTCCATTTCTTCCCTTCTGTTTGATATTGATTGATGTTTTAATTTCCTTACAGAATCGATCGGCCTATTTCTCACTTTAGCTGCTGCAGCGCTACCTTTAAAATAATTAGGTGCAGTTTAGCCTTTCAAGATGTGATGGGGAAATTATTTTGAAGTTGCCATGAAAGAGATTTCCTACCTTGAATACAGATGAATGGTGAAATGGTGAGCACGGGAATATGTTGCCCACAGCTCCCAGAAGGACATCTCCATCTACATTGCTTTCATGTAAATGTCAAGTTAAATGAACTTTCCTCCCGTGCATAATGCATACTGATCCGAATATTATTCCCCTGTATGTTTTTGACATCTTTATATTCACATTTTGTTTGCCTGGATGGTGCTTATTTCTGTTTCATCAGTTAACTTTTATGTGGGGTTGTTTTTGATAAAGAATTCAGGATGTGTGAATTGAGGATATCTTTGCTACATGTGCACAAATTGATGGATTAGTATAAGTAGCCAACAAGAAATATGGGTTTCCTTCCACCTAGTGGCAACACCAGGAACAACATTTCAGCCTGCCAGCCATCTATTTCCCCTGTACTGTAATATTTAAATACGAGCAAATGTGTTTGCCTCACGAGAATGTCCTTATTGACTTGTAATATTTGACCACTATAATACTTACTCTAAGAACAAGACTCTTGCAGGATTCAGTGTTTCCAGATGAAGCCAGTGTCACGCTGTGCTGTAGCAGACCAGTGGTAGTGCAGAGCTATATTTAAATTTCCCCCTGGGGTGCCATTAAATCGTGTAATTTCTTCGTCAGGCCTGGCTGACCTCATTTTGATAACTACACCAGACAGTTGTTAGACATATTAAACAGAATTGTTGAATTTCACATCTCCAGTATTATCTTTTTTTCCATTTCATTTAAAAATGAAATGTCTTTTTATTTCAGTTTGTAAAATAGAAAAAAAAGCCCATTTTGACATATTGTGATAAATTCAAACATGTTTTAGGTTTATCTCTACCATTTAAGAGCCATGTTCAACAGTAGGTGTTTGGCTAGAGCCTTCAACGATGTTTAGTTAAACCCTGACACTAACAAGAAAGTACTCAAGCAATATGTACTGCTTGGTGTGCTAGTTTTTGATGGTATACAAACGTCTCTTAAATGTGATGTTAAAAAATACATTTTTATAGTCATTAAAATAACCTTTTTTTCTAAATGGGGGAAAACTACACTGGATATTAAACTTTAATTTTGTTTTACTCTGCTGTTTTGGAGCATGAAAGAACACGCTGAAGCACCACTTTGTTATAGAACCCTATAGACCATAAAATTCAATTAGGCTTTAGGTTTTCCTTGCTGATAAGTAGGTTTGAATACTCCTAACCTTGAGTGGGTGTTCACATCCACAGGGGACGCAAGATTTCCCCGTTCCTTTTCTGGACGATCAGTAGAAGGCAGGAATACACACTGTGGCAGATATTTATAGAGAGAGAGTGGGAGAAAGTGAGAGTGTGGCTTCAAAGGTTAGGGTAAGAGCGCATGGCAGAGTGACAGAGAAGGAGAGTGACAGAGTTGTCGTGTGAGACATGGAGCTGGTGGAGAATAAAGATGAAGATTTAGAAATGGATGATGTTGCAGACATCACCAGAGGCTCCGTGGAGCCTGCCATAAATTCCTGTGTCTCTGTAGGTCAGCTCTGCACTTTATTGTCTTTGCTGACCCTAATTGTTCTGCAGATATTGTGAAGTAGTCACTGAAGGGCTGAAGAAAAACAAGTCTTCACAGTTTGGCCTTCATTTATATCTCCCTTGTTTTCTTTCTCTGTTACCCTCCTTGCTGCTTCCACATGCATTAATGGCATATTAACATTACTATGAGTATGTTTGAAAAATGTATGTGCTGCAGCAATATAATGAACTTTATTACCATAATAACTTTCAAGCTAAACTAATTATTCCATTAGGGCTTTTAATTCTACTTTTATTCCACATTTGGTGAATATGTGCTGAGAGTCCTAATATCTCTTTTGTGCAGGACTTTTTTTTATTACCTAACACACCCAATAAATAACCTTCACTAAAATTAAATTAACCCTAAATTTCTGATTTGACCTCTGCTAACCATCCGTTCCCAGATCCTAGGAACCTGTTGGTCCAGTGACACTGCATAGGGTCTTATCCCACCCTCTAGCTGCAATTACTGTGTTCTTTTCACTGTGATTGTCCCTAGCAGGCTTAACCAGACACTACAGTCAATCTTCTTGATGTTGTCAGTTAGCTATCTTGATAGGTAGCAGGACGACCATGGAAGAGGCAGGCCCTCCTGAAAGCTCCTCTGGTGTATTTGATGTATGTACTAATGTTGGCTGATTTTAACAGATGGTCTTCTCTTCTACAGCGGGTCCTTCTGAAGTCATACTGTTCAAATCTGTCTGAGGCAATAGATGGGAGTTTGTTGTACTCAAGGTAAAAAAATATTTCCTTCTGGACACAGTGGATAAAACAAACAGCGGTACATAGTGTTTTTTCCCGTGCTGTGAACCAATGAGGAGCTGTGATTTAGTGATGCATGATATTATCTGTTACTGTTTGATAAGGATATAATTTGGATCAACCAATAATGTAATCCAAGGAAATGGAAAGACCAATAAATGCAGCAACATTTTCCACTGAGCTGTTGATAAACTAAGAAGACTCCATGTACGTCTAATACATATTCTTGCCCCAAAAAAAACAAAAATAGAACAGATTATGCAAGCTAACAATAAATTAACTTTTTTTTTTTTTTTTTACGTTACACAACATAAGATTTTGAGCAGAGGAAATGTTTACTTATGTTACACAATAAATTTAATAAGCCATTCAGTAAACTGTTTGTCCTGGCCACAAATATACGATATATATATATATATATATCGTATATACTGTATATACGTCTATCAGCACTCCCTTCAAACCACAATTTCTGGCCCATCTCCTAAATGTTGCTTAAATGTGTCAACAATCGCAAAAAGCTAACAAAATGCGTGCTGGCACTTAGTAAATGCTAAAAGTTATAGAAAAAAACAAAACATTTAAATTGCCTGCTTGTTTTGAAAAATAGGCTCATCCAATGTTGACAGTCATGATATATCACAAAGCTAGTTACACACTGGGGTGCCTTCAGCTGGTCACAGACCACAGATGTTGTCAGGCATGTGGGAGTGTGTACTGACTGAGGGACTGTCACTGTCATCCAGCAGCTTCCACGGAATTGAATTTCCTTACATGTCATACTCAGAATACAATCCATTATTAATCCATTTTGATGAAAACGTTTTTACAAATTGATTTCGTTTTTCACAATAAAATTAGAATTAGAACAATACAATAATAGTTTGTTGTATAATCATATCTCATATTTTTATTTTTGTACACACAAACAAGGCACATTTTTATTGGGGGTGAAAGAGGATAAACAATGCCTAAAATTAGCACATTGTAAAGACAACATAGATTCAGCAGTTTGTAGATAAAGCTTAAGATGTTTCGGACGCATGGACAGAAACTGTATGTCAAAAGGTGGTGTACTAAAGCTGAGATGTGAAAAGAACGACGATGTATGCTGTGTTGACCTTTTTAAAAGATCATTTCCTGATGAAGGGAACGGTGTCGGTGCAGCCACTGTTTCAATGTGAACTTGAATTTCACTGCTTTGTTTCACGGAGGCTTTGGACTTTGTGTTTTATTGCGGTTAAAAATATCTTTTTACAAGACATGATTTACGCAGAAATTTACATCAGCTTCAAAAGAGCTGATGGTGAAAGATTCTTTATTCTGTATGCCTTACATTTGAAATACTGTTTTTTTTTCTCCTTCCTTTTTTTACTTCAACTGTGGTAGTTAAAGGATTAAAGACACATTAAAAGGATTAATGGCTTTGAGAACAAGATTAAATAATCAGAGCTATTTAAGGAAAATAAGGAAAGTCCACTATTGTGTTGATTAAAACATGACTCTGAACTTGACGTGCAGGATATTAGGCTATAAAAAGCCTCATCAAAAACCTAAATTCATTATCTTTGGACGTTTAATGTGTCGGCCCACGAGAAAAATAGATCTGCTGTGCTATCAAATAGACATTAGCACTTACAGTGAAAGAAAAATATAAAAAGAACTAGACAGAAATATAGCTCAGGGGCTTTTTCCTTGGAAAGGCGGCTCAGCTGAGTACAGTTGTTATGGGATTATCAATCCACATTATGACACATTGCTGTTTCACTCATTTACAACATGCTGCCAGTCCTCATGTGGGAATATCTCTGTTACCATAAGTCCCATTCACTATTTGTTTTTTCCCCTGGTTCGACCAGAGACACATGGTAATACTTTCTATAACCAGTACAAAGCTTGGACTCTTAGTCCCTGCACTGCAGGTTTTATCCTGACTCTTGTGAGCTATTGCATGGGAAGAACCCCAGCTTTTATGCATCTTATTTTCTTAAGGCTGCATTTTGAATTCAAAGTGTTGAGGGAGCACAGGCTTAAAACAAGGCAGGAGAAAATTTCAAATGTGAAATGTCTGGAAGAATCCGGTGCAGCAGGGTTGGTGCTGTCGGAAGGATCGGTTCTCTGAACTGTCTGTAGAGATCATGTCTTCATATGTACTTTAACAGGAGGTGATGGTCTCAAGGTAGATTAATGAGTGAAATGACATGTGATTTTACTCCTAATATTTCCTTTTTGGAGAAGTCCAAAACATCTAGATTCTGAAATATAAATTTAAAAAAATGGGTATAATTTACATAGTATGGACTGTCCCTAAAAAACACATCAATCCAGAGAAATAGGAAGAAAATGATGTGTTTATGTGAGTAAGTTCATATTTTTTTGCAGCTTTAAATGTCAATCTAGAGTACTGGAACTGAAATGATAAAAGTTTTTGAATAACCCTTCATCTTGCAGCCAGATCAGAATAAATATGTTTTATGTTCACTAAAAATACAAATCTTCAGGTAGACAAAAGATTTTACTAGAAAAAGAGTATCATTGATTTATATACACTAAACCGGATCTACATAGTAGGGCTGAGTAAGACAGTTACATCCTTTTTGAAATATGTAACTGCTACAGTGTAAAGGAAATACTGCTTTAGAACAAGTGCTTTACCGTTTAAGGTGTTTGCTTTTGCCTCTGTACCATTTTTTTAAATAAAAATGTGCAATACACACTTATAGGTGTCAGTCACACCTACAGCATCATCTTTATCATCAAAACGACCACAGGCTAAATTTGACAGTAAACTCTTCAGGCTAATGGTCTTATTAACCATGTGAGATGTAACCTCACCCGCAGACATACTTACATTAACATACTATTACTGCAAAGTACTTCTGTTCTTTTTCCAGGGCTGCTAATGACCACATATAGGGTTTTTTTCCCATTTTTTTTTTCATGCCCAGTCTGTCTTCCTAAGCCATCTGTCTTTTCTAGAATAAGTGATGAGAGAGGCTCAGAATAATGTTGGCTGTCATTTCTGAGGCACCAGTGGCAACAGGCTTGTCTGTCTGTAGTCTGGAGGCAAAAGGGAGGGTGTTTGATTGACGGGCACAAGTCAGCCCTAATCAGATGCTGAGGTGGGAATAAGGGTGGCTCGTTAATTGAGGCGAAATGTAAAAGTTAATGTCACTCATCGTCATCTTCACTCATATGTTTGGAGGCCAAACACAGCTGTAGCATGGCACTAAATAATTAGAGATGAAGGATTTTTTTTTTATTTGGCTCTCGCAGGAAGACTGACATGTCAGTATGGCTAAATGCTTTAATCACTGAACACCTGTACATTGAATTTTTATTGCAGTTGCAATTCTTTCCTATCCTTATCCTAATCTGGTGAGAGCAATGTTAGGTAGTGTTGTAATAAAATACAGGCCTTGGCCTTCCAGCATCCACAGTTTTTCTTTGACCTTGAGTTGCTCCCTTTTTGCAGACTGTCCTCGGGGAAATGATGGTGAAGAGAAGAGTGGAGCGGCACAGCGTTTCTGGAATTGACTGTGAAATTAATGGGAAACACGTCATCCCAGTGTGCTGCTTAACCAGTGTGAAAAGCAGATTGTGACAGTGATAACAAAGGAGGTAATGAAATTGAAACAGTTCTTTCTGCTGTTGTGTCATTTTTACCCCTGAGTTCCTTATGTTTTTGCTGGGGTAGAATTTTGAACATTAATTTCAATCAATTAATTACAGACCAAATAACATGTTAAAAAATATGCAGTTACTCCCACCTTTCTCATTTCCCTAATTTCGTGTAACATCAGGCTAGTAGCTGTTACTGCAGCTGAGGTTTGATTGACAGCCAGAAAGGATAAACAGAATAGTTTGCCCACAATGACGGAAGACAAGAGTGCTTTGATTAGCCTATTTTTTTTTTTTTTTTCCATTTTGTTTACAGAAACTTAATAAAAAATAAAAGCATGAGTTCAGAAAAAGTGTACCTCATGTAGGAAGTATCATCTCAGTGTTATTCTGTTCTCTCTTTTTTAAGCAGGTTATTCATTTGTATTTTTCCAGCATTAAAATATTGATAAAAACATTTTATGTATAAAACTGTACATTCCATGTATAGAGTTGCAGAACTATATTTCACCTGTTTCCATTAAAATGATATGGTTTATACAAATAGATAAATACTTCACCAGAGAATTTTACATTCAAAAATAGAAATATGGTACAATAATAACACAAAGTCACTCAGTCAACTCCATGTGGACTGATCTTCCAAAGCCAACGAACGAGACTGTTAGTGGCAACCATTATAAATTAAAAGGCTGGTATTAGCATTAGCAAGTGACCCCCCAGAGCTACCATTATAAAGCTGGTGGGTAATTGGCCCTGAGCTGTAGTGCAGGGACACAGAGGGTCTGTCCTTGTCTGGTGGTGATGGGGGACAGCGGATGTTTTACCAGTCTCATGGTCCTCAGTGGCAGATGCAGCATTTCATCATAAACCATGTGTTATCAGAAAGGTCAGTGGGATGATGCGCTCCTGTCCTCTACTGTAACCAGCTCAGCTGAAGCTGCGGTCACATGTGTTTCTATTGTTTCCTGCTCTGAATTC